GTCTCATGTTAATAGACCATGTATAAAAATAATAATGGCTTGCGTCATCAATATGATCACTTAATGTATGAGGATTATACGACAATGGTAATTTTTTTCTTATTCGAAATAATATTTATTAAATAAAACATAAAAGATATAGTAATTCGTGATTCTGTATAGCGAAGAAATATTAAAATTTGATTGTGAAAATAAATTAATTACAAAACTAAAAGAGTAGAAATAAAAACTTCTAATCGTAGATATTCACCATTCATTTCGTTTTTTTCTACTCGGTTTGTCCAGCCAATATTTTGTATGTACTAATCGTCTACGCAATTTACATGATAATTCATCACGCATTTGTTTAATTAAATCTTGATAAATACGTTTTAAAAGTGTTGTATGAACATTTCCCACAATAAATAACAATAATAATAATAATAAAGTAAACTTAATACTCAATGAATTCAACATTAATGTCTTTTTTCTTTCAGAATCAGTTTTTTTAGTTCATAAATTGAATTATTAAGTTCGAATGTTTTACGAATAGAAAAAATAATCAAAATCTGTCAGTGAACTGATTTACATCTAATTTTATATTCATAGTTTGTTCATCTCTAAAATTCTAGGATCAATACAGACGTTGTTTTTGAATGAATTGACAATTATTGAGCAAAGAAAAGAAAGTCACTCAATCAGAAAGAATAACTCATTCATTTCATATATGGATTCGTTTCTTTATTGAACATTAAACTGATGATATTAAAGAATTTGACTAGAAAATACTGTTACTTTTGAGAATAAGATGAAATAATCAATTGTAAAATTGAAACAAAAAATATTTTTATAAAATCATTTGAACCATTTTCTATTGTTAAATGTTGAATTTCAGTTACATATTTATTCATTCAATTTCATTATTTTATTTAAATCACAAAATATCTAATAATTTTTTAAATAATTATTTAATTGAGAGATTTTGTTTATTTTCTTGTTTTTATCAATAAAATTAAAAAAATCTTCCAGTTTCTCGTCGCCATTTAATTATTTTAATTAAATTCGGTGAATGATTTTGGTAACTAATGAAACTTTATAAAATATATTTTATTTGTTTTTTTTTATTTAGATTTTAGAAATAAATTCTTATCAATTAAAAATATTTTTATTTGCCAAGGAGAAAAATCAAAAAACAATTTAATAAAATCTCACGAAAAGAATTTTTATTTTATTTTTCAATTATTTCTAAGTTTTCCTATTGATAGAAAAACGATTTATTTAAAAAGAGCAGGAATTGTTTATTAAATAACTGAAACTTCCAATTAATTTTTTCTTTTCAATTTTTATTGTTCAATGAAATAAAGTTTTCATCTTTTGTTTATTTTTCTAATTTTTTCTCTTTATTTTAATGAATTATTTTATTTTATTTTTAATATTTAAATGTCAAAAGAATTTTCCTTTAAAAAAATAGCTTTTTTTAATCTTTTTTTTTAATTTTGACAGATCTCATTCTTATTCGTTTATCTTTTCTCTTCCCTTTCTCTCAATAAATCATAAAACTACAAAAATAAATTTAATAAAATAACAATCTGTTTTTATTTGCAAGTTTTTTTTATTAATATAAATGCTTTTTTCAATTTCAAAAATATTCTATTTGATTTCTCTACAAAAATAAAATTTTATTAATTGAATTTTCTTTGAAATTCTTTTGATTTGATTCATTCAACAAAAATTCTATCCGAACTATTTCATTAATTTTGGTTTTTTAAATTAAAATTTTTTCATATTTTTGGATTCGATAATTGAAATGATCAACAACATAAAGATTTTCTTCATTATCAAATGATACACCTCTGGGACAATTCAATTGATTTGGTTGATTTCCTTTACCATTTCCACCAACAACAATTTCACCTTCTTTATCTCCTTCACACCAACGCATTACTCGATCATTCCCCACATCTGCTACATAGATTTGGCCCAAATTATCAACAATCATTCCTTGAGGACAATCCAATTGTTTGAGACTGTTTCCTCTCCCACTTCCACCAGCAACAATAATTCCTTCTTTTTCATCTTTTTTCCATTTCATTACACGATGATTCTCATTATCTGATATATAAAGAGCATCATCTTCATCAACATAAATATTGGTAGGATTATTGAGTTGATTAAGATGATCTCCTTGACCATTTCCACCTGCAACTAAATCACCTTCGTCATCTCCTTGTTTCCATCGTCTCACTTCATGATTCTCATAATCAGAAACATAAATAAATCCATTTTTATCGATTGTCAGACCCCAACAATTAATATTTGAAATGATAATTTGTTGATTTGTTTGACTATTATCAAAATATCGAATGACTCGTCTGTTTCCACGATCAGAAATAATAAAAGACTTATTTTGTTTATCAAAAATTATATCTCTTGGATGACTCAATTGATTCTTTTGATTTCCTTTTCCATTTCCACCTGCAATGATTTGACCTTGATTTGAATTCAATTTCCATTTAACAATACGATGATTCCAACAATCAGCAATATAAATTGATTTCTTATTGTTAATAAAGATCCCATGAGGCCAATCGAGTTGATTTAATTTCTGTCCTCGTCCATTTCCTCCAGCATCAGTAATTCCAAATTGTTGAAATTGACTCTTTTTTGTCTGAGTTGGCTCTAAAATAAAACATTTTCTTTCTATTCAAATCTTTTTCATTATTTTGTGAATCAAAAAAAGAACAAGAATAAAAAGAAAAACTTCTATTTGAATATATTTTAATGAAATAAAATTTTTTTTTTGTTAAATTTAACTTTTGATCGAACAAAACTAATTCTAAAAAATTTCGTTATGCAACTGTGGATTTTTTAATCAAAAGAATTGTTTATTTGAGTTTGATAAAAGTTTAGTTTGGGAAAATCTTTTTTATTTCAATGATTTAAATAAAATCACTTAGAAATTTCTTTTTTATTTATAACTTCTATAATTCTTCTAATTGAAAGTTCTAAACTAAAACGTTCAACTTAACTTAAACTTATTGAACAATTTAAAAACAAGATAATCTTTTCATTAGAATAATAAAAGAGATTTTTTAAATGAAGGAAAATCTAAAAATTGTATTTATTCTGAGAAATTTGTTTAGATTTGAATTTTATATTTAAAAAAAATCTTTTAAAAAACAAAAAAAGTAATGATTTTATAGACAACTGTTAATTGACTAATCAGTTGAAACAATATTTTGAATTAATTTTATTTAAATTTTTCCAAATATTTTAAAATCATTAACAAGAAAATGTTTCGCATAGCATTTCAGTGAATTTAAAATAAAATGTTGAAAAGAATATTAGGAATGTGGTTGACCGAAAGAAAATAGAACTCTTATTGAGTTTTTGATCATATTTAAAATTTGAAAAGCGAAAAAAATTGGTTTTTAATTGAATCAGAGTTGGGCATAGTATTCGAAGTACTCGTACTCTTACTCGGAGGATTTGGTACTCGTACATGTACTCGAATGGATTTTTTTTCGTACTCGAGGATATGATCTTAGAGTTCTTAATTATGTCTCATAAAAATTACTATGTAATTATGTGCTGCATGGATGACATAAAATCTTGACGTCTTTTTGTTTCGCCTGTTTAAATATAGATTTTGTCCCCTACTAACTATGGCAAAAACTCTTAGTCACCCTCGATACAATAGTACTCGAGTTGGTACTCGAGTACGGTTTTGTTTAGGCATGCACCAATTCCAATTCCAACCAATTCCAATTCTAGAATTGGTATTGGAATTGGTTGGAATTAGAATTGGTGCATGCCTAGTTTTGTTGTAGTCGTACTCGAGAACGTCCGTACTCGCCCAGCTCTGAACTGAACAGAAAAATTTTAATAATTTGAGAACAAAATGAAATTAGTTTTAATTTTAAGCGAAAATTATTTATTTGACTAAACTTATTTTTCTTTTATCTCAATATCTGAAAAAAAGAAACTAAATAATTGATTAACTTTTTGTCATTTTTTTATTTTTATTTAAAAAAAAGCGAATTGTTCATAAATTAAATGATCTTTAAAATTGTTTATTTAGCAAAATTGTTTTAATATAAATACTTAAAGTTAAAAATGAATTGAAAATATTTAATAGAATTATTCTAAAGAATAAAATTGTGTTGATAAATATCAACAAAATAGAAATCGTATGATTTAAATTGAAAGAAAATCTATGAAATTTTATTATTAAAAAAATATGCTTCAGAAAAAATAGTTTTAATTTAATTAAGTAAAGAACAAAGAATAGTTTTCTAATTAGAAAATGTTTCTCTTCGATTGATTTTTTATTAAAATGATAAAATTTCTATATGAATTTAATATTTATTGTTTTTCTAATGGATAGATTTTGTAAATATAAAATATTTTAAAGTCTGAAGATAAGTTTAAATATTTATTTAATAATATTTTCAATATCTGAATGGGAAAAATAATTCGAAAACGATGGATGAAATCTCTTTTCAGTATTGTATTAAGTGATATAAAAATAGAAAAGAAGCAAATTATGAATAATTTTATGAATATTGTTTCAAGAGAAAGTGTTATTTGTTAGCCAAAACATAATATTATTTGAAAAAATTAATTTGAATTTTTAATGAATAAGTAAAAATGATTTATAAAAAGTTCTATCTCGAATTTTAAAGATGATAAAAATATTTTTTATTTAATAAAACATACTTTGTTTTATTTGAGCTTGAGTTGATATAGGATTCTTTGATATAGTTGCTGTACTGATTGTAGAATGATTTGATCGATAAGAATCTTAATGCAAAGAAAATATAATGATTTATTCGACAATAATAGAAAAATAAATAATTTATTTTAATTTTATTCATGTAAAAATATTTAAAAAGATTAATATAATATTTTTGTTGTGAAAAAATAAATAAAGAATTATTTTGATTGTGAAAACTATTGTATATCCTTTTGAAATAATTTAAAACGGAACGAATGAAAATTCAATTTTATTATTTAAAAAAAGTAAACTTTTTAACAATTATGCTATTTAATAGGATTTTATTTTTGCCGACCTTTAAAACAACTGTTTTAACATTTATCTGAGAAATAAAATTGTAAAAGTGTAATCTTCAATTATTTTATTTTCTGATTAAGATATTCAATCGATCAAATTCAATAGTAAAATATCAAATATTTCTTATTTATCTAATTATTTTGAGATCTGTATCATAAATTCTAGAATAATTTATTTATTAAATTACTTATAATTGAAAAACAAACCTCTAGTCGAGAGTGAGGTTGACTGTGAATTTCTTGTATAGCCACACCCATTCTTAGGAGCTCTCTTTCATTTCCTTGCAAAATCCTAAGGGCTCAGTTACACTTCCTCATAAATCCATAGAGGATCCCTGTAGTGATTCCCCCAGTAGAACTTACGTGGAGACTCCGTTGAAGATTTATCAGGGGACAATTGACTTCGGATAGTAAGATCTAAAAATCAAATTGAATGTAGGTGTGGGTATGGATACTGTATTCGCCCGCACTCACACTAACTGGGGATCGGCCTTTTAACTTATTCTAACAAAGCAAAAATGAATGAATTTATAAAGAAAAGCTTCTAACCTCGACTGCGCTTTGTTACCAGAAAAACGTCTTCCGTCAAAGAGCTTGTTCGATATGGTTTCTGAAAGCCACCTGTTTGTTGTTTGACGTCCCGAGAAACATTTTTTAATACTTCTTCAATATCTTTATTAGGCATTGTAATATATTTTAATAAGTTTTCAGTAAATATACCATTTCTATTATTTCCTGTTTCGTCAAGCGTCGCTTCACCTGCAGCACAAGAAAATGCGATTACAGTTTCTGATGGAGCATTCATAGATGATAAACCTTGTTGCATATTGAGTGCTCTTGTTCGCACAAAGTTTCTGCAGCAATCGAAAATAAATATTGTTATGCGACAGTATTTATCATTTATTTTCTTCATAATATATTGTGCGTTAACAGCGTGCTCTGACATATGCTTATCCGAGGACAGGAGAAAATCATAATCGTAGTCTGACGGTAACAAATAATTCTGATCTCCATGCTGTTTGCCATGACCAGCGAAGTAGAATAATACTAAATCAGTACGTTCAATTTTATTAACAAATGTATCAATCATCTGGAGGAATTCTTGTCTGTCGCAGTTGATTTTTAGTGAAACATCGAATCCAATTCCTTCGAGAGTATTCGTTAAATCTTCGGCATCATTTACACAGTAAACTAATGGAACGCGAGGGTATCTATTGATACCAATAATCAATGCTCGCTTACATCCATAAGTAACAGATAACGTCATTGGATCTGAAATTTATTTACAGATATTGAATAACACATTTGTCATGAGTGAAATAGTGGAACAAAAAAAGATTTTTTCGCATGATATGGTGGTTAGAAGAATGATCAGCTTCAATCTTAATATTCTTCGCAAAGTAGGGCATTGAAGGTGTGGGTACGAGTTTGGATGAAAATGTGGGTGTGAGTGTTGGTGAGGGTGTCGGTGTGTTAGCCTGTCTGTGGGGCTACGAGAAAATAAATAAAATTGTATATGAGTATATCTCATAGATTTTATTTAATACAAGGAACACGCATCCTTATCAAAGAAAACGAATAGTATTTATATAAAAGAAAAGGAAAGAAAAAATGTAATATATGATTACATTTTTAACTCAAAAGAATAAAGGAAAAATGTGATTATGTATCATACTTTTAATAAACACGCATAGAAAGAGTGATGACTTGAGTCATCGCTAACACGGTGAGAACGTGGGTGTGAGTGCGAGTGTTGATATTATATTCATTTTTTACCCGCACCCACGCCCATCTACTGAATGATATTCGATATTTTTTTCAAAGTTTCTTAGGTTTTTCAAACGAGTCTTAAAGTATACGTTCCAAAATAATGGTTTCTTATGTGAGTTTTACATTGAGAAGTCAGTTTATGGATAAATATGCAAATAAATCTTCAAAAATGTTTAACATCTTTTCATTACAGAATGATATAAGGAATCTTCATAAATTATACAAAGTGACTAATAAATCTATTTTTAATCTGCTATTTCAAGTTAGAACATTGTTTATATTTGTGTGAAATACTGATCAGAAGAAATATTAATATTAGTATGCCATATGAAAACAGTCAAAAACTCACCACGTTATTAATAATTTAAATTGAATGAATTCTATGCTAGAATTCTTGATAATATTTTTTACCTCTTAATGTATGTTGGAAGTGAATGATGAAGACGGTTTATTAAAATGACGAAATTATTTTTTCGCAAGTGACAAACAAAAACTAAAGTTGGTAAATCCAAAAAAATGATGAGAACTGAAAAGCAACAACAACATGAAAATATACTAAGTAACCAATCAGTAATGCTTTTTTTTTAATGAAAAGGGAAAAAACCCTGTATTATTTCATCTGAAGCCATATGAACAACCAAAAGAAAAAATCGCTTTTCTATATGGCTGCTGCTATAAAAAGACATTTTAATATATTCCGCGAAGGAATAGACACTATTAAACACGTTCGACGGCAGTAACAACGATAATGACATCATATTGAAGCAACAAAACACTTGAGGATGTGGGTGTGAGTATGAGTAGTAGAGAATGAGAAGAGATATCCTCATACATACATCTAACTGCACGTTGGTGACTCGTTTTAGAGCTACGGATTTGATTTCTTTTCGAACTGCACACATTTTTAACTGGTGTATTCTAAATAATTTCTCCTTTTTCTCTAGTAAATAAGCAACGTAAAATTACGTTTACTTAACTGTTCTTTTTTTCTTGTGTTTAGACTGTGAGTCATCTAAGAAATTACCTTGTATCAACGAATACAAAAAAGAGCACAAGACAGAATTTCTAATGCTAGTGGCGCTGCTCATAATCTAGTCCCTAGAAACTACAGATAGTATTAAAAACTTCCTTCAAACTAAAAGTGTGAGTATTGTTTTTATTATAGTCACACCCTCAAGACATCAATCTTGTTAACCCACGAATTTATGATCAGAAATTTATTTTGAATAAAAAGAAAAATATTGAAGAATACAATATAAAGAATATATAATTGTTTTTTTTTTAAATAGAAACAGATTCTACAATTTGTTTAACAGATAATCCACCAAGTAATGCTAATTGACTGATGACTAATCCAAATTGTTTCTTTAAACCAGCACTTAATTCAACGGCAAGAAGTGAATCTAAACCTTGAACAGTCAATGCTTCATTAACATCGAGATTTGATGTTGCTAAAAGACTTGAAATATATGTTGAAATCGAAGATATCGTTATTTCATTTCCATTAGTAGATGTTCCTGAATTTGCATTACTATTTAATCTTGTTTGATCAATTAAATGTTCTAGACGAGTTTTTAATATTGGATATGAATGAATTAAATCTTCCATTTGAAAATTTCCATATAACATTTGACATTGATCATCATTTTGTAGAAGAAATGCATGATCAACAAGTTGACAAACACCTGTTGATGTTAAACCACCAGCAAAACCTTTAGCAGTTAAAATTTGTTTTAATTTCCAATCTTCAGCAAGAATTCCAACATCTTCTACTAAACCTAAATTTAAAACTTTCACTCGATTTTTTCTTAATTTCGAAAGTTGACTAGCATAATTATCAAGAAATGTATTTGCTGCACTATAATTTGCTTGAGATGGATTTCCAAATGTTGAAGCAGCACTCGAAAAAAATATGACATTTTCTAAGTGTTCATCAGGAATTATTTGAAGAAAATTCATTGCACCGGTAACTTTACATTGAAGAACATTTTCTATCCGTTGAATATTTAATTTTGAAATCGGTGCATCATCAAGAACCATAGCTAAATGAAGAAGACTATATTTCAATGAAGAAACATTGAATTTCATTTGTGCTGTTTGTAAAACATTTTGAATATCTTCTAATTTAGCTACATCACATTTTTCAATACAGATTTCAATTCCAAAACGTTGAAGATCAGTAAGCATAGTCGCATCGGATGATCTTAAACCAGAAGAACCTTGACGAGATAATAGAAGAAAACGTTTAGCTCCATGAGCACTGAGATGTTGAACTAATTGAAGAGCTAATGCTCCTGTTCCTCCACTTAAAATATAACAAGTTTGAGAATTATAAATAGTTGTCGAAGGAAATAGAGCGGGCAGTTCACTTTTCATATTTAAAATTAATTTTCCTTTATGTTGTCCAGACATTAGAAAACGAAATGCTAATTCAGTATCATTTAATTGATAAATGCGATCAACAATCGGAGAAATTGCTTTGTTTGATGCTAATTTTTCAATGGATTGTAAATATTCTTGAATTTTCTTTGTTTGACTTTGCATTAATATATCTAATTGAACACTAAGAAAACTTAAATCTTTCAATAATAAATTCATATCTAACTGTGAATGATTTAAAATATCCACTTTACCAATTTCAATAAAACGTCCACCAATTTTTAAACATTGTAAACCAGCTTGAATAGCATCACCTTTTAAAGAATTTAAAACAATATCTACACCTTCACCATTTGTTAATTTCATAACTTCCGATTTCCATTCGTCAGTCGAATGAGAATTAGCAAATAATTTACAACCATAAGTTTGTTCTAAGAATTGACGTTTTTCAGCAGAACCAACTGTGCAAATAACATGAGCACCAATATGTTGACATAATTGAATAGCAGCTTGACCAATTCCACCCGCTGCTGAATGAATAAGTACAGTTTCACCTGCTTTTACTTGAGCTTTAGCAATTAATCCAGCATAGACGGTTGCAAAGACAATGGGTAATGAAACAGCATCGGTATGAGATAGATGAGATGGTTTTTTCACAAGGAAATCTCCATGTGTTACAACTTGAGAAGCAAAACAATGATTAGCAAAGCCAAATACTTCATCTCCAATTTTAAAGTTTTTAGAAGCGTTTAAACCAACATTTGTCACAATTCCACTTAATTCTAAACCTAAATTGATTGAATTTTCTCGATATTTTAATGTTTGACGATCGAAACCCATTGGATTTTCTAACATTCCCAATGCTAACATTAAATCTTTGAAGTTTAATGATGAAGCATAAACTTCAACTTGAACATCATTTGGTGATAGAGAAGAAGGAAGATCAAATAAACGATATTTTAATGTTTGTAATTGACCAACTGTATCAATTTCTAAACGAAAATTTTCTTTTTTCTTTTCATTCGAAGAGAATTGTTCTTGATTGGTTTTGGTTAAGACATTTGTTAAAGTTCGAGGAATATGACGTGGAACAGTAATGTTATTTTCATGAATGATAAATTCTCGTTCCAATGTTTTTTCTACCATATTTTCAATTCGTTCTAACCAAAATTGTTTCTTTTTCAATTCTTCCTGATCAAATTCAATCGAACAAATTCGATGTTGTGTTGCTTCATTCGCCCAAACTCGAGTAAAACCAGTAAATGTTGCACCAATGGGTGGAGTGGTTGTCTGAGTAAGAACAAAGACAGTTGTTGAATCTGTTACTGGAATTAACGATTGAGCTAATTCTAATAATTTTTCCATATATGTATGAAGATTTTGAACAGTTGCTTCAGTTGTATCAAATATTATTCGATTGGAAAGATCTTTCTTCTGAAGTGTCCAATCTGCACCTCGAGCACTCAATAATGAATGAGCAAATTCTGGTTCTCCTTCATTTTCAATTTGAATTTCTTCAAATCCTGTTTGTGTTAAAATTTCTTTCCACTTGTTAACATTAAGAAAACATGTTGATCTTGTATTTGTATCTGTAAAATGCCACCAGCCAGCAAATAAACCAAAAAAGAATTCAATCCATGTCCATGGTCGAGTTAATTCAATACATAGAAGAAAACCATTGGGTTTTAATAATTGTTGAACACGATTTAAACATAAAGTTAAATCTTGTGCAACATGAAGAACATCAAATGCACAAACAACATCAAATGAATAACGATTAATTTTTTGTGTTGTTAAATCTCCATCAAGATTACATATTTCATATTGAATACATGGATAGATGGAAGAAAAACGTTTCTTTGCATCAAGAAGAAATTTACCACTAACATCAGTAAAAACATAAATCAATCGACTTTCTTGAATAATTGATGTTTGTTCAAATAATTTCTTGAGAATGACTGAAGTAAGAGCACCTGTACCAGCACCTAGTTCTAAAATAGAGAAAACACGTGAGGATTCTCCTCGGTGTTCTTTCTCAATGATCTTAAACTGATCGACGAGTTTTTGTGCAAGAATATCTGTATAAGGTTGAAATGTCATTGATTTCGAATAGAGATCAGCCATGAATGGATCATTTTCAGCAAAGAAAAGATTTTGTACAGCAAAATTATCACTAAGAAGAGCATGTAGATTTTTTCCTACACGATGAATTGCTTGTGCTTCATAATAAAGTTCTTTGCATGAATCATGATCAATGGATTGAATTGATTGAGGAGAGATTTTCTTTGATTTAATAGTAGAATGTAACCATTGCCAATATCGTTGACGATGAATAGGCCATTTATCAACTGTTTCCTGATCAAATGGATTCGAAGCGAGGAATGCAGCGATATATGCTGAACATGCATCATCAAATAGATTTTCTTGTTCTTTAATTGATTTGGGAATTTCTATAATGTTCAATTGTGTTTGTGTTTTTATCGATGGTGTTTGAATATTTTGATAATGAAGAGTATAAAGAGGTTGAGCTTGATTTGATTGACCTAATGCTGTAGCTTCAAAACCAAGAATCATACCGACGAGACGTTGTTGTTCTTCATCAATAACATAAATATCACCGGTAATAATTTGTTTCGAATCAGAATTTCTCATTCGAGCATAAACATAGATATTATCAGGTAATTCATTTGTTTCAATTTTCCATTGAATTTGTTTAATAAATGTTGGAACATAAGCTGTATGAAAATAACGTTGTGTACCGAGAAGAACTTGAAATGCACAATCTAGTATTGCTGGATGAATATGAAATCGAGATTGTTTGGAATTTTCCAATGGTTTAGGTAAATGTGAAATATTTAAATGTGCATAAGCTTCATTATCACCTTGATAAAGTGTTCGAATACATTGAAAAGATGGCCCATAATCGAGACCAATACTTGAAAATCGTCCATAAATATCTTTCTGTTCAATAGTAGAGAAAGAACAGCGTGATTTAAGTTTGTTTGTCCATTCTGGTAGTTGAAGATTTGAAGAAGAAGACGCGGGAATATCATCTTTGACAGCTGTCATATGTTTTGTCCAATTAGTTGAATCATATTCATTTAATTTAGAATACATTGATATCTGAGATTGATTCTTATCATCAAGAACAATTCTTATTGTTCGATAAATATTTGGATCAGATGGAAGAATTAAAGCTTTTTCAATTTGAATATCTTTTAAATTCATCGAATGAAATACTTCCATACATATTTCAATATAACCAGCAGCTGGAAATACAACAGGACCTTGAACACGATGATCTTCAATCCAAAGAAACGATTTTAACGATAATTTTGTTTGTAAAGTTGGATAAGGATGAGCAAGTGGACAACCTGCTAAACTATGCCAATTAGGAATTGTTCGGTGAATACGATGTGCTGGATCTTCTTTAACACAAGACTGCCGTTGAAATGGATAAAGAAAAGAAGATGGAAGACGTGATGGTGATGAGTAGAATTTTGAAATATTTGCTTGTGATGGTGAACAACCGTAAATACGTAAATTAGCCAATACTTTTAATGTTGTTTCCATTTCTGATTGTTGACGATTTAATGTACATAAATTAAATTGTGAACCATTCTCAGTTAAATATGAACTTAGAACCGGATGTGCAGACATTTCAAGAAAGAGACTTGTATCAACACCAAATCGTTCAAGACATTGTCGAACAGCAACATCGAATAATACTGCTCCTAAAAGAATTTCTTTAAAAAAAACAGTGATAATTTTTTTGTATTTACCTTCAATTCCTTCAAAAGTATAATTTTCATCAAAATCACGATCTTTCCATTGTCCTGTAACTGTACTAAAATACGGAACTGTTGGTGTTGAACATCCAGCTAATGTTTGTTTAAATACAGCAAGAGCTTCTGTACGAATAGGTGTCATCAGAGGTGTATGATATGCACTGTTAATTTTTAATATTCGATTAAAGATATCTTGTTTTGTTAATTCACTTGAAATACTTGCGATTGATTCTTTAATTCCACCTAATGTTAATGAATTCGGACCATTATAAGCAGCAATCCAAATTTTTTCTCGTTCGTCTAAGAGAGGTTGAATATGTTCTTTAGAACAACTCACTGCCATCATTGCTCCAAGTCCATCAACATGTCGAAGGATTCGAGCACGATGATAAGCAGTTTGAATACATTGTGTTCTTGTACATATATTTGCAGCATATCCAGCTGCCATTTCACCAAAAGAATGCCCAAATACTGCTGCACATGGTACACCTAGATCACGATACATATCTACAAGAGCAATTTGTAGAAAAACTAGAGCAGGTAATGTATAGGTAATTTCATAAACAGCCATTGGATTTGCACCATCTTCTGAACCAAATAGACCGATGTCTTTAATTAAACTATGACCTGAACATTCACGATAAATTAAATCAGATGCATCAATTGATAAACGAAAACTTTCTACATTAGCATAGAGCATTTTACCCATTTTTGGATGTTGTGGACCTTGACCAGCAAATACCCAAATACAATTTAATGGTTGATCAACACATTTTCGAGTAGGTACAAATGTTGTATTCTCATTTAATTGTTCATCGACAGCAAATGTAACGAGACGATGTATTGGACGATGATAAAGTGTATAGGAGATTTCAGCTAATGAATAAGATTGTTTAGATGAAGATTTTAATTCTTGAATTCGAGCTTCGAGAGCATTTGGTGTTGAAGCAGAAACAAGAAATAATTGTGGAGAAGAAGGAGGTGAAGACGAAGAAGATGATGATTTTATAGGTCGTTGATATCCTTGAAGAATTGCACAACCATTAGCACCACCAAAACCAAAACTTGAAATCATCATTAAAACATTATCTTTTTCAATTTTTTCAATTTCTGTTTGAACAGCAAGTTTATATTGATCAAATTGAATATCTGGATTTTCTTCACCTTTTTTAAAATGAATATTTGGTACTAATTGTTGATGTTCAAGCATCAACACACATTTCAATAGACCAGCCATGAAACTAGCTGTTTCTAAATGTCCGACATTTGATTTAACTGAACCAATACGTAAATAAGATTCTTCTCGACCAAAAACTTTTCCAATTGCATTTGCTTTAAAATAGAAAAAAAAATTAAATAAAAAATTAAAAAAAGAGATAAATGAAAAGTATATACCTTCTGTTGGATCTCCAACTTTTGTTCCTGTTGCATGTGCTTCAGCATAAAATATTTCATTTGGATTAACATTCGCATTTTGACATGCCATTCGAAAAACTTCCATTTGTGCTTGAGAACTTGGCATAGTTAATGATGGAGATTGATGTCCATCTTGATTAATTGCTGAACCACGAATTAAACAATAAATATGATTTTTTTCTTTTAAAGCTTCTTTCAATGTTTTAATAACAATAACACCACAACCTTCTGAACGAACATAACCATTTGCTTTATTACTAAATGATTGACACATTCCATCCGGAGATAAAACACCTAATTGAGAAAATTGAATAAATGTTGATGGATTCATTAAAATATTAACACCAGCAACAACAGCTGCTGAACATGTTCCATCTCGAATAGCTTGACATGCTAAATGAAATGCAGTCATACTCGATGAACATGCTGTATCAATTGACATCGATGGTCCTCGAAGATCAAATGAATAACTTAAACGATTTGCACATATAGATAAAGCTGAACCAGTTACACTATAAGCATTAATACTTTCTAAATCAGCTGTTGTTAATTCATATTGTTCAGCTTGTCCAATTCCTACATAAACACCTGTTTTTGATCCAGCATATTGCATTCCACTATCTTCAAGTGCTTGAAGAGTTACTTCTAATAAAAGTTTCTGTTGTGGATCCATATTTTCAGCTTCACGTTTACCAATAGAAAATGTTTCATAATCAAATTCACCAACAAAATCAATCCAACCACAACGAGATGATGGAATTTTCGCTGGAGTATGATTTTCATTTGATAATGGATCAACAAAATAATCTGCATTCCATCGATCACTCGGAACTGGACGTACACAATCACGTTGTTCAACTAAATTTGACCAAAATTCTTCAGTTGAATTACTTCCACCAGGAAAACGACATGCGATACCAACGATAACTAAATCATCATTACTCATTCTTATCGATAAAAATCAAATTGTAAATCTAAATTAAAAATACAATTTTGTTCGAATATTTAAAGACCTTTTTTTTTTTTGTTACTTGGACTTTTACGTCGAAATTCAGAGTGCGAGTGCATGTAACTATTTCGAGATAAAAGTGCATCGAAGCGATTATATGTCTTAAAGTACGTGTACTTTATTTTTCTAGATATTTCAAAGAATGGTTTGATTATGATAACTCGATAAGAAAAAAAAATGCGTTATTCAAATTTTATGGTGCGCAAATATAAATACCACAGATAGAAGTATCTTTTACTGTCCATATAGGACGTATGTTTCGTTTTTCAAGTAAAATGTACAATTATTCATCGAGTCCACTTGTACTTGAAAAAGTACGTCGGGTTCAAGTCCAAATATATTTATCCTAGTCGTGATAGCGTGTTCGAGTATACAAAAGGAAAGAAAAAGAAAAAAAAATACTCTGTTCTTTAACATTCTTTTTTCATCACTTCTCCGTCAAACTCTTTTCTCTTCTCGCTAGACATGATGATGACAATACGCCTTCTTTTTTCTCTTTCTTTCCTTCTGTTTTCTTCCCATTTATCTCTTGAATATATTAAGTGAAGTGACAAGGATCGAATGAGACATAAAAAATTTGCTTGCAAGATCATGTCTATTTGAAAAGGAAAATCAAATTACAATTCTATTTTTTTGATCGTGTTTACAAGATAAGCAGCTTCCCTCAAAAAGAGTGATGCAGATTTTTGTTCCGATATTTGCACTGAAAATAAAAGTGCAAGATATAGGTATAAAAGTGCGAAGATAGAAGAATAAATAATAGATAATAAAGTATTCTTACTTTTATTCAGAGTTAGATCCTTAGTTCTATATATAAAAGATAAGAAAACAAGTGATATCTCCAAGGTGTTCAAATAGAAAAAGAAAAGGAGAAAGATGCTGTCATATTCTTTTCTTGTTTCTTTTTGAAAACTATTTTTTCTTTTTTTTTTCTCAATAAAGCTAATGATGAAAAGAGTACCTTTTCTTTCCTTCTCCTTCTTCTATCATTTATTGACTGGATGTATAATGTAAAAACGACAAGGATCAAAGAGCATACAAAGAAAAGTGCATTTTCTAATGTAATGTCTATTTGAGAAGGCGAATTCAAATATAATTATAAATAATTATTTGATGAACAACAGAGATTATAGAAGAACAAAAATAAATTACCATTTTTTTTTAAATTTAATTGTCGAGAAATATTTACTCAGATCAAATATCAATACACAGTGATGACGTCAAAAGTAGACTTAAGAAACAGTTGTTTCAGAAATGATTTGATACTTGAGAGTGTGAGTGAAAATTATTGATCATAAAAAAACACGCTAAAACAAGAGAAAATTTTTTTTTTCTTTCGATATATGAATTTATGTAAAGAAATGAATTACGTTTTATTTTCAAGTGCAAACAGAGTGATATCTTCTTTTTTTTTATCATTCTTCTGTATATACACTATAGCGTTATCTTTCATTATGCTCACATTTGTGGACAAAGATGCATCAGCTTTTGTTCTTCTTACTGATTCTGAGATGTTGGGGTGATCTAAAAGTATTAGTCAATGAAAAGGGAGAGTATCAAATTAGTATAGACAATAATCCATGGCTTCGTTCATCACATACAGCATTATATGTCGATAACACATGGTATTCTTCGGAAGATAATTCATTACCATTGATAAATATAAGTTCGACACAAGGTGCGGATCCTATTCTTGGCGGTTGGAATGAGACACAATTAAACTATGATCTGGCTCGTAATGGAACGCATACGAAAATTGTCGGTCGCATACGCCAATGGCATTCGTTTTCAGCAATTACATTTCATTTGGAGACTGGTGATCGAGAGATGATAAATACAGTTCCTCTGGATATGAATCATGTTCGAACGATTTTTCCATCATTTGATATCGAACAAATTGATAGTTACGATCAACGAAGTTTCTTTACCTATGAAGGTGAAATGGCTGGTGATGATCAGAAACATGCAGGTCACTGGAATAGATCAGCTGAAGTCATCAATGCTGGGATGATAGCTGGTCCAGTCGTTCTTTCAAATCTTACTCAACGAGGGGAGAAGGATGTCCTCATTCTTTCTCCATTCTCTCGATTTATGGCTACTTCGTTCAGTCAAACAAATAGTACTTTAGAGTACGGTGTGATAGGTTCGATGACGTCTATTCCAGCAAACTACAATCATTCGATGATTGTTTTCTATTCTTCGAAAGGTATCAGAGAAACAATCAGAGAATGGGGTCAAACGATGCAGAAAGCATACAATCGAACGAATGAACATCGTCTCAACGATTTGACTATCAATTATCTCGGCTATTATACAGATAATGGTGGCTATTATTATTATCATTCAGAAATAGGAGTAGATTATGAAAGAACGATGGTTAATGTTCGTCATCAAATTCCACTTCCCTTTCATTATATGCAACTCGATTCCTGGTGGTACTACAAAGGTATTGGACATGGCGTCTCTGAATACACGGCAATGCGACATATATTTCCTGATGGTCTTCAAGCTCTTCATCGTCGATTAGAAAATATTCCATTGGCAGCACATAATCGATATTGGGCTTATGACAATGTTTATAAACAAAAATATTCCTTTGCTCTAGACGAAAAAAATAAAAAGGCATTACCCATTGGAAATGATTCCTTTTGGTTCGATTTTTTCAATCAAACACGTGATTGGGGTCTGATTCTCTATGAACAAGATTGGCTTGATCATCAAACCTATGACTTTACACCACTGTGTACTGATATTCATCTTGGACAACAATGGTTAACATCTATGGGTGCTGGAGCTGAGCAAGTGGGCATGAATTTACAATATTGTATGAGTTTACCTCGACACATTCTCACTGCTTTAGAAGTTCCACGTGTCACTCAGGCTCGAGCATCAACAGATTATGCTCTTCACCTGAAGAAACAAACTGTACCTCAATGGGCGATTGGAATTTCCAGTATGTTTCTTGATGCATTGGGTATAGCTCCATTCAAAGATGTCTTTTGGTCTACTTCATTACAGCCCGGTGCACCCTATGGGTTTTCACCACGTGAAGTCCTTCCAGAACGAGAGATACTAATTGCTACCCTATCGACAGGACCGGTCGGAGTTGGTGATGGCATTCGTTACATCAACGCCGAACGAATCATGAAATGTTGTCGTCAGGATGGATTGATTTTGAAACCTGATCGACCTTTGACAATGATTGATATGGTAATATCGGATTGGACTTTTTCTAATGGTGTTTCTGTTGGCGAACTTTATTCAACGCAAACAACTATGTTAGTTTCCTTTCTTTTTTGCAGTTACTTAAACTATCACTTTTGATTTAGAAATAATCAAACTTTCCATGCTGTCTTTGCATCAGCTATGGAACGAGATTATCAGGTTTATCCTGCGATGATAGGTGCTCAAGCTGGAGTTATTTGGTCTTATAATAATGCAACTGATGTCAAAATGTTCTCTGAAACGAATTCCCTTAACGTTTCAGCGAGTCAATGTAATAACTTAACAGTATGCCTTTGGTACGTATCACCACTCGTCCAATTCAGTGATTCACCCACAACGTCGTATGCTCTTCTTGGTGAATGGAACAAATGGACAGCTGTTAGTCGACAACGATTTAATTCCATAAAAACTGATATGAAAAACAGTCAAGCAACAATCATTGTTCAAGGTGTAGCCGGTGAAACAATTCCAGTCGTTATCTATCACAGTATTCTCTTCTCTGTCACCGTCAACTGTCGAATATCTGCAGACGACACTCCAGCCACAGTTACCATTACTAAATCGGATATTATTTGCTCTTGAATGCTTTTCATGAATAATTCCTAATAAAAATTTTTTTTTGATAATATCATCTTCATTTGCCAGATTCTTGAGGGTGGGTGTGGGTATAAGATGAACATATCTACTACACCCACACCCTCAGAACATGAATAAATATAACATCTCTCGCAATGTTATACATGAAGTCATAATGAAAATGAGATGTTAGAATAATGTGTCATTAAAAGTTAGAAGATCAAATAAAATAATTTTAATATTCGATGAATTCAACATTAATACTTTTTTTTCTTTCGGAATCATCTTTTTTTAATTTCTAAATTGAATTATCAAGTTCGCATGTTTTACTAACAGAAGTGATAATCGAAATATGTCAATAAACTGATTCACACTTATTTATATATTCATAATTTGTTCATCTTCAAAACTCTAGGATAAATAAGTCTCTTGTTTTTGAATGAGTTGACAGCTATTGTGAAAAGAAAAGAAATTCAGTCAATTAGAAAAAATAACTAATTCATGTGATATGTATTCGTTTGCTTTTTGAACAGTAAACTGATGATATCAAAGATTTTGAATTGAAAGTACTGTTAATTTTGAGAATAAGATAAAATAATCAGTTGTACAATTGAAATAAAATATTTTTATAAGATCATTGGAATTGTTTTCTATTGTTAAATATTGAATTTCAATTAAATATTTATTCATTTGTTAAATAATCGTTTAATCGAGAGATTTTCTCTATTTTCTTTTATTTATCAATAAAATAGAAAAAAATCTCTCAATTTTCCTTCACCATTTTATTATTTTCATTAAACTTGATGAATCATTTTGTTAACTAACGAAACTTTATAAAATATATTTTATTTTTATCTTAATGAATCATTTTATTTTATTTTATTTTTATTCAAGAATTTTTTCTTTTCAAAAACAAGATTTTCACCTAATTTTCCGATTTCAACAGATTTCATTCTTATTCATTTGTCTTTTTTCTTTTCGCTTTCTTTTTGCTCAATAAATCATGAAATTACAAAAATAAATCTAATAAAAAAATAATTTGTTTCTATTTACACGTTTTATATTATTAATTAAAATGTTTTTCTCAATTTAAAAAAATATTTTGTTTGATTTTTCTATAAAAATAACATTTTTTCTAATTGAATATTCTTTAAGATTCTTTTAATTCGATTCATTCAAGTAAAATTCTATAAGAATTATTTTATTCATTTTGGTTTTTTAATTTAAAATTAAAATTAACAAATATTTATTTACTTTTTTTCTAAAAATGAAAAACTTATTTATTTATTTCATTAAAACAAATTTTAATAGTTTATTTTGATTTATTTTTATTGAAGATTTTTCATAAATTAATCTTTTTATTTGCTTTCAATAATAAAAATAAAAATTTTGTCAAATTAAATCAAAACTATTTTTAATTTCCAATTTTTTCATATTTTTGGATTCGATGATTGCGACAATCAACAACATAAAGATTTTCTTCATTATCAAATGATAAACCCATGGGCAATTTCAATTGATTTGATTGACTTCCCCAACCATTTCCACCAACAACAATTTCACCTTCTTCATCTCCTTCACACCAAAGCATTACTCGATAGTTCCGACAATCTGCCACATAGATTTGACCCAAATCATCAACAATCACTCCGTCAGGTTCATTCAATTGTTTGAGACTATTTCCTTTGCCATTTCCACCAGCAACAATAACTCCTTCTTTTGCATCTTTTTTCCATTTCATTACGCGATGATTCCCACTATCTGATATATAAAGAGAATAATCATCATCAATATAAATATTACGAGGTTTATTAAGTTGATTAAGATGATCTCCTTTACCATTTCCACCTGCAACTAATTCACCTTCTTCATTTCCTTGTCTCCATCGTCTTACTTCATGATTCTGCCGATCAGAAACATAAATAAATCCATTTTTATCCATTGTCAGACCCCAACAATAAATTTTTGAAATAAGAGTTTGTTGATTTGTTTGATTTTGATCAAAATATCGAATTAATTGGATGTTTCCAGTATCACAAGTAATGAAAGAATTATTTTCTTTATCAAAAATTATATCTTTTGGCGAATCTAATTGATTATTTTGATTTCTATATCCATTTCCACCTGCAATGATTTGACCAGTATTCCAATTCAATTTCCATTTAACAATACGATGATTCCGAGAATCAGCAATATAAATTGATTTATTATTATCAATACAGATCCCTAAAGGACAGTAGAGTTGATTTAATTCCTGTCCTTTTCCATTTCCTCCAGCGACAGTAATTCCAAATTGTTGATATGTATTCTTTTTTGCTTGAATTTGGTCTAAAATAAAAGGTTTTCTTTTTATTCAAAATCTTTTTCATTATTTTTAAATCAAAAAAAGGGCGAAAATAAGAAAAGCTTCTATCTGAATTTATTTTAATAAAATAAAATTCTCATTTTGTTAAATGTAATTTTTAATCGAACAAAATTAATTCTAAACAATTTCTTCATTCAATTGAGATTTTTAAATTAAAAATTCTTTATTTGATTTTGATAAAAGTTTAATTTGAGAAAATCTTTTTTCAAATGAAAATTATTTTTATTTCAACGATTTAAATAAATTGATTAAAAAATTGTTTTTATTAATAAATTAAATAATTCTTTTATTCGAAACTTCTAAACCAAAGAGTCAAACTTAACTTAAACTTATTGAACAATTTAAAAACAACATAGTCTTTTGTATAAAACTACTAAAAGAGATTTTTCAAATGAAAAAAATTATTTAGTTCTATTTATTCTCAGAGATTTCAATTTTCTATTAGAATAAATCTTTCAAAAAAACAAAAAAAGTAATGATTTTATAAAAAATTATTAATTGACTAATCTGTTGAAATAATATTTTGAATCAATTCTATTTAAATTTTTACAAATATTTTAAAATGATTAAAAATAAAAGTATCAAAGAGAATAGTTGGAATGTAATTTGATTGAAAGAAAATAAAACTCTTATTGAATTTTGATCATTTTAATAATTTAAAAAAGCGACAAAAATTGATCATCAATAAAATAGAAAAATTTGATTAAAATGGATATGATTTTTATTTGGAAAATTAAATAAGTTGAGAAGAAAATGAAATTAATTTTAATTTTAAACCAAAATTATTTATTTAACAGAATTTATTTTTCTTTTATTTTAATATTTGAAAAAAGAGAAATAAAATTATTTATTTAGAAAATAGAAAATTGTTTTAAAATAAATACTTAAAGTTAAAAATGAGTTGAAAATGTTTAATAAAATTGTGTTGATAAGTATAAATAAAAGGAATTCGAATGATTTAAATTAAAAGAAAATTTATGAAATTTTATTATTAGAAAAATTTTTTTTTGAGAAAAACTAAATTTTAGTAGATTGAATAAAGAACAAAGGATACTTTACTAATTAGAAAGTACTTCTTTTAAATTGATCTTTTATTGAAATGATAAAATTTCTATATGAATTTAATATTTATTGTTTTTCTAATCAATAGATTTTTTAATTAGAAAATATTTTAAGTCTAAAGACAAATCTAAATATTTATTAATTTTTTTAAGTAGAGAAAAATGTTTTATTTTATTTTGATTTGTTTATTTGTGTTTAAGAAAATTTTTGTAGGTGATTTTATATTTTAATAAGATAAAAGTATAAAATTAATTTCAAACCTTCATAGTAAAAATAATCGTATGATCAATAGTTTTATAAAGTCTTAGAAAATTTCGAATATTTGATTCTGACGAAAAAAAAGAGAAAGTTAAAGAAATAATTTGTAATTAAAGAAAAAAACAGTTATAATATTGAATAAATAATTAAGAAAATGATATGAAATTTTGATTTAGTTTTAAAGAGAATAAATATTTATAATATAGAAAAGTATTTCGAATAAATTCTATAGATGAAATGAGAATATTATTTGTAAATTAAATTAATTTTTATTTTTAATAATTAATTAATTAACTATAATATAATGAAAATATTTTAATGACGAAGAAATAAAATTAATCTAACCATTTTTAATTTTCAATAAATGAATTTAATTCTTAATATAATTTTATTTTCTTTTTTAAAAATCTATTCGAATGATTAATTTCATTAACAGTTCTATAAATATTTCTTTTCATTTGCAAGAATTATTTATTTTAATTAGAAAATAAAACTTTTGATGCTAAGTTTTGTTCTTATTCATACAAATTAATTTCTAAAAATATTTGAGATGAAAAACTTTGTTACTTTTTAATAGAAATTTTATTTTAAATATTTATTTAATAATATTCTTCATATCTCAATGAGAAAAAGAATTCGAAAACAATAGATGAGGTTGCTTTTCAGTGTTATATTAAATGATATAAAAATGGAAAAGAACCAAACTATGAATAACTAGCGAGAGTCCGTGCATACTACACGGCTGATTTTTTTCCAACTACAGTTTCATACCTCTGTTTTTACGTTGACTTGATAATAAACAATCAAAAAGTTGCTTTGTATATGTAGATGCATATTATAGCATTATTCCAATATACTATAATCCTTCATATGCCTGCACTCTTATTCTGAACTGCTTATACTCATGTTTTACTAGACCCGACACAGACACACACTGAATATTATAATATAGGATTTTATGAATATTGTTTCAAGAGAAATTGATATTTCTTATCAAAAGATTAATATTATTTGAAAAATTAATTTGAATTGTTAACGAATAAGTAAAAAATTTTTATCAGAAAGTTGTATCTCGATTTGAAAGTTGATGAAACTATTTTTTAGACAAAATTACTATTATTGTTATTTAATGAAACATACTTTGTTTTATTCGAGATCGAGATTGAGTTAACATTTTATATAATTTTGTTATTGGATTTTTTGATATAGTCGCTGTACTAATTGACGAATGATTTGATTGAGAAGAATCTAAATAAAAAGGAAATATAATGATTTTATTTGACAACAATAGAAAAATAAATAAACAATTTATCTTAATTTAATTTATATAAAAATATCAATATAATATTTTTACTTTGAAAAAAATAAATAAACAAAGAATTATTTAGACTATTAGTACTATTATTTGATTTTTTGAGGTAGTTTTAAATAGAAAAAAAGCAAAGTTTAACTTTTCTCATTTAAAATTTTCCCAATAATGAAACAAACTGAGAGAATTCGTCTATATTTTAAATTTTGAATATAAATCCCAAAGTTTTGTCTATAATATATTTTTTTGAGGAAATTTTCTTAATATAGAAAAAAAATTATATATAATTATAATTATTAATTTATATATTAGTTTAACAAGATTTTTAATATTTCATCGAAACAACAAATAAATTACTAATAAATTCTTCTTTTGAATTAGTTTGTATTCTTAGGGAGCATATCAAAATTTTTGCCGTCCGTTCGGTCGCTATGCCGTTCAGCCGGTCTGCCGTTCTGCCGCTCAGCCGTTCTGCCGCTTTCCCGCAGCCGTGCCGCGATGCCGCTCTGCCGCGGCATAAACAATGGCTTTAGGTCCTTTTGCCGCGGCAGAGCGGCTGAACAGCATGAGAGCGGCCGACCAGCAGAACGGCTGAGCGGCAGAACGGCAGACCGGCTAAACGGCATAGCGGCCGAACGGACGGCAAAAATTTTGATATGCTCCCTTATCGATCTTCAAAACTTTTTTTTATCATTTATCTTATAAATAAAATTGTAGAAGTATAATCTTTAATTATTTGATTTTCTAATTAAGATTATCAATAGACCTAATTCAAAAATAGAATATCAAAATAATATCAAATATTTCTTATTCATTTGATTATTTTGAGACTAATATCATAAATTTTACAATGATTGCTTTATCAAATTATTTGTTTATCGACAAAGAAATTATTTTCTTAAATTATTCTATAAATCTTTTCATTTAACGGTATGTTTTGATTAATCTAAAAAATAAATGTTTTTGAATTTGAAATAAAAAATAAATAATTATGAATTTATAAGTAAAAATTGATCTAATCCTATATCATATCAATTTCTTATGCGATTAGTTCAAGAAAAACTTGAGAAATAAAATAATATTTTTTATTATTTTATTAATTAGATTTTAAAGAACTATTTTCATATTCATTTATTTATCGAGATTCATTTTATTTATTTGTTATCTAATAAATATAGCGGTTAAAATACTTACTTGGATTTGCTGATGCAAATAATTCTTCATGGTCATCGCCATCATCATCATAAATTTCTTTCAAATGAATAATATTTAATCCACCATGATGACTTAATGGATTTGACACAATTTCAAATATTGTTCCAGGCATTAAAATAACTTCATTTTCATTTGGATAACATGTATATGATGAAACTGATTTTCCATTTAAACATTCTATATGAAATAATGTACTTGAAGAAGATTTACTAATAAATGAAGAAATAACATCAACAGATGTTGAACATGAACTTATACTCCACCAAGTAATGCGTTGACCTTTTTTGAAACTTTTAGTAACATCTTTATCAATACCACGAAAAATAGTTCCTTTAAATTTAGGTAATTTTGATGTTGCAGAATCTAAAAGTTTTAGATATCCAAACCATGGACGAACTTTTGTTCGATCTTCTGCACGAAGTGTTTGATTTAAAATTCGATAAACACTTGAATCATCAGACAGTTCCATTGTATAAATATAAATTGCAGCAGATTCATCTTTTGTTAAATTATGATCATTTGGATCTGTACAATGTCTTTTAGCTAATTTAACAAAACGATTTATATCTTTTAGAAAATTTTGTAATTCATTCATAGCTTCTTCAAGAGATAATAATTTAAAATTAAGATAGCCATAACACGCTGGTAAGCGTTTATTTTCCAGTTCAATATCTGTGAAACGATCTCCTGAATGACTCATTATAATTAATTAATTATTCAAATTGTTTTTTTTATTGAATGATGAACTAAATAATAAAAAAGAATGACAAATTTAATTTGAATTTTATGATATTTATGTATTAAATGAACGATTAGATTATATTTTCATTCTTAGATTTAAAAGCAATGATAATTAAAGTTGCTTTATAATTTTTATATTCTTTCGATTTAATTATATCTGAATGAGATACTAAACCTAACTCTAAGAAATAAATATCATGCTTTTGTACTTGAAAATTTTTATAGTACATCAAAGCAGTTTTAAGAACTTTAGTTTTATAGATAAAACATTTTTCAACTTAATTTAATTGACATAATCATAGTAATTAAGTTTTACTTTAGTTTTTTTCAGTTAAAAATAGTAAAGAGAGACATTTCGGACACGACAGTTTTATGATTTTTTATAATTTTTATTAACTTTTGCTTGACATTAGTCATATTCTAAAAAAAGAGTCAATTTAACACTAAACATATGTTAACTTTCACATAACTATCAAAACGTGAAATAATCATTTTCCAGAATTTCTCATTGCTCACGGATTCTACAAAATGATACAGAATGGGCTTGAAGCATTTCTATAAGCAATCATCCATCTATTTAACCTCCTTATATGCCAATAACAACGATTTATTCGAATCAAAATGCATTCATTCTTAAATTTCAGATTCATAATAATACACAAAACGGTGTCAGTAGATTATGAATGAGAAAACATAGAGTGCGAAGCACACGTATTGACCTGAATATTCATTCAGTGCACACCGATTATGATCTAAGGAAATAAATAATAGTTTTTTAGATCAATGATGAAATAAAATCGAAGAACTAGGTATGTACTTAACATCGACCTTGAAGGTGAGTGAGGGTGAGTCTTAGGATGATCATGACAATGAAGATGATAGTACAGAGCTCGGTGTGGATGACAAGGAGCGAATATAGATATAAATATTATAGTCATCTCTCAATAATTTCATACTCATGACATCCTCACATCGTAGACTTTAACTGATAAACCACATCATCATCTATACCTGAATCTTCATCTATACTCCCATCTGTACTAATATCTAAACTCATGGACTTGGTGTTTTCTCTTTTGCAATCTCCCAAAGGAATAAAATAAGTTGCAAAAACGAACATCGCTGTGACATCTACAACCATTGAAATGTCATAACATCGGCCTGGGAATCTAATTAAATTTTCAGCTTATGAGAACTTTTGTGATCGAAACGGGCAATAGTTCGTACGGGGGCATCCATTTAAACTCTACATCATATATACACTGATATAAAAAAACTGTAAAAGAAGATAGGTTGAGTAATACTTACTGACTTTGGTTATCTATAAATCACTTTCTGTTCTGTCTTTTTAGACGTGTATATTGGTATTAGTTTCTTTCGTCGGAATGAATAAAAGTATGCACATCATACATAATTCACCTTTTATATATGAAGATAAATAAATTCTTTTATCTTGGTTTGTAAAAGAATGATAAACAAGACTGTGCATCCAAGTCGGTAAGAAGTATTTGTTTTGCTTTTATTGACGATGATACTATATATCTTCATAGAGTTTCTTCTCTGCTTGCAAAAGGTAACAACAAAAAGTCTTATAGCGTGAGTATAGATGTAGATGACGGGATAAATTTAGCCATTTTGGGGGTATAGATATTATATTCAGCCGTTTCGTACAATCACGGACAGTAAACTATCTCATCTGGAGCTTTGTCCATTGAAATTTTACTTTTTCAAAATTGTTAATCTATTTTCGAATAAGATAGTAATTGAATGTTATTCTTCCGTATGAATCATACGCACTCCCTGCTTGTTGTTCTCATGAAGAAGGAAGAACGAAAGGATCGCTTATTATATTTTACTTTTAAGTTTGAATGGACATAAACATGATTTTATTGGGAAAACATTAGCAAAGTGAAGAACTTGCTACTGCGTATATATTTATGAAGATCTTCATGCGAATTCAAATGAGATATTGAAATAGTAATTAATAAATATAATTCTATTCATGTTCTTATTATATAAATAACAAAAAATTTCATATTAGATTTAGTTTGATATGATATTCGATGTAATTCAGTTTCTTCTGGTTTCATTGGTATTTATAATATATTTTTATTTGAGAAATTTTTAAATTAATTTGAATTTTTTTATGAAACGATCAGTTATTACTACAACAACGTCATATAGTTTATCAATTGAAGAATTTTCTACCAATATAATCAAAGATCAGTGCTCGAAACGATCAGATGAATCTGAATGACTTTGTAAATTGTATTAAAAAATAATAATGAAATAGCTCTTTTCTTTTTACAAAAACTGATTAATTTAGCTTCACATTACAAGTTAACCATTATATTACAAAATCGATGGTTCCAACAAATATTCTGCAAATGCAGGAGATGCTTCATTCCATTAATTTTTTTCATTCTGAAGTAATAAACTATCATCGTTATAGATGTCTACTTTATTTAACAATTAATTGAAAATTCTATAACTTAAGAACAAAAAGAAAACTTTAAATTTTGCATAATATTTGATGAAATCATCAATTTTCTTATATAATGATTACACGTAACCATTGAAGGAATCACTTTTAACTTAAATACTTTTAAGATATTTATCAGGATATTGTATATAATTATTTTATTTTGTTTTATTTCATTTCACACTTGTTGCACTCTCACATTTCATCGGCATATAATCACACCATTTTACTCTTAAAAGTATTTATTATTATTTTTTTTTGGTTATAGATCATTACGTACACTTTGAATTAAACTCAAATCTAATGTATAGAACGAAAGAAAAAAAAAACAATCCATTCATTTATTCTTTTCAATTGTTAAAGTGTATAATGTATTTCAAAATAGATTCAAGCTTTTATACATTTGATCAGACCTAAGTGTAGTATATGACTTAATCACAATACTTAATAAACTGCCCATAACCAGTCGCCATATTTGAATTATAAGAATGTTACATAACTAAAGTGCATAAACCAAATTTTATCATTAATAGATAGATATTTATTTTCTTTAGTTCTCATTTAATATTCACTTGTTCTAATATTGACTTGAACAGTTTACATACTAAGATGCAAGGTTAAACAATTGTTACTACAATTTTTCTTTTAAATAAATGAACATTACGAGAAAGAATTTCAAGGTTGTTGGCATGATGCTATTTGTTTTGAAAATAATCAAAAGTGCTTCGGTTGCATACATGTGAGCAAGTAAATGAGTGCAAATCATTTTCTTTTTCTAGGATAAATAAACAAAACAAGCGAAGAAAGAGAAAAAAAAAGGACATTTATAGTTAAATGAGTGCAGTTTTTTTGACTGTATAATAAAATATAGAATTAAGAAAAAAAAAACTTAAAGTGCAAATATGTGATTGATGTTGGATTAGTAATAATTATCTAAAGTAAATTCTATCACCATTATTCATATTTGAAAATGAAGATATATCAAATATATGTCACTTTAAAATTCTCTACTCAACGACGTGATTTTTTTGAAAGCCTTATTTAATATACACAGTACGAACCGTTCCTATGGTTCCTACGTTACTGATTATAATTGTTGTCAACGAACGAGAATTTTTTTTTCTCTATGTCGGCCTTATATAAATGAACAAGAAAAAAGAGATTGTTATAACAAATCGTGAATAAAATTCAACTGTACACAAGGTAAGAATAGATTTATTAATATTTTCTTAATAGAAAAATTCAAAGAAGTTGTACACATTTGTTTCATATGTAAATCATCCTTTCCTTTTAAATATATAGTTATGCAATAGAAATAATCTGAGGTTATTAAGTACGAAATTTTTGGATAGATATTAAAAACTACCATAGTAACATCTTTCTCTTATTATAATGTGTATGTTGTTAAGAAGAATTTATACTATTTCATTTCTTTCGTTTTTGTCTGGTATCGAATCACTTTAGTTCATTGTTCTTTTTCTTTTCTTTTTTTTAAAAAGAATATATAGTTCCGTACAAATGAATTAAATTTCTTATTTTTTATTAAATAGAATATTATAAAACAAAATGTCTCGTGAAGCTGATACTGGTCGAGTAACATATGATCGATTTGTTGAATTTGAACGTTTGGTGAATGGTTATCCATCAGTAGGTCGACGAATTAATCCAAAACCAATTGGTTATGCTGCATTTGCTTTAACATTATTTGTTTATTCAATGAATATGTGCGGTGCAACTGTTCCACTGTTAACTTCACCTGCTTTAGCCATGGGTCTGGCATTATTTTATGGTGGTTTAATTCAATTAATTGCTGGTGTATATGAACTTCGTTCAGGTAACAATTTTCATGCACTTGTATTTTGTTCTTATGCTGGCTTCTGGTTTGGACTTGGTTCACTTTATGTTCAAGGTTCATTTGCCTTTTCGGGCCAAGTTGCAGATCCAACAGTAAATAATTATTCTTTTGGTATTTTCTTTCTTGGATGGACAATTTTTACATTAGCTGTGTTAATTGCATCCATTCGAACAAACATAAGTGCTATACTCTTTTTCTTCTTTCTATTATTAACTTATATTTTATTCACTGCACATTATTATCTTAATATCCATAATGATTTGAGACGTGCTGCAGGTGCTTTTGGAATAGTTACAGCAGTTATTGGTTGGTATAAAGCATTTGCACATTTACTTGTCAAAGGTGAAAATGCATATTTTAATTTACCATTAATTGATATATCACGACGTCGAGGAGATGCAGCTGGACCAAACGCAGTTGAAACGCGAGTCGCAAAATAAAGAAGAAAAAGACTGAACTTAATTAGATTTATAGAGTCTTTTGTTTTATGTTTTTCTAATCAGTTTTATTGTGATTTTACATATACTAACTAAATTTCAATAAAATAATCAAGCTGTTTTGATTTATTGTATAAAATCTTATTTTTTTTTCTTTTATCATATATTTGCCTTCAAATACCAATTAGAATTTTTTTTTTAAAATTGCACGTTTGATGCAACGTGTAAGGTTATAAAGTGAACATAATAGACATATTTTCTTTATTAAGCTGAAGGTATGGAAGAATGCAAAAGAAAATAAATGAAAAAATTTAGTTTTTTTTCTTCTTCTTCTAAGAGTTCATTGATGGAATATTATTATTTTATGTAATAGATTGAAATTTTGTTTGACTACATCTGCAGCGATTTATTTAAATTATTCTAAGTACGATGTATCATCTGTAATCACCATAACAATGATTCATATTTTGTCCTTTATATATATATACATAAATAAATCATTTATGATTAAATAGCCAAATGTTATAAAGGTACCTTTTTTTGGTCATAAAAAGGAAACATATGTTCCACTATCTATTATTAGCTAATAGATAACATTACGCCTATATAATATCGTTGTCAAATGCTTATTTGATCATTCTCATATTGAAAAAGACGATGCGTTTTACTACAATTTTCGTTTGTGTTCTTGTGTGTCTTTTCGTCGTTTCTATCAAAGCTACTGATGATGAAAGACGTGGAAAAGGTGTTGCATTGGGAGTTCGTCGACAAACAGCAGGCGTCAATGCAAGTCCATTGGTCGTTAGTGATCAAGATACTCAAATTCTAAGTGATGATAAGGCAGCACAAAAGGAATTGGACGATTGGCTTTCAAAAAATGAAATTCAATTTCTTCCACATTAATTCAAAATGTTTGTTTTATTTTAAAGTTAATAAATACTTGCATAACTTTATTTCATTATAATTAATAAAAAAAAAGGAAATTATATCATAATAAATGAATATATGCTTTACATTCAAATAGAGATGCCAGCTGATGCCTATAGATGTATTTTTTATTAAGAAAAAGCGGACTGCTGTACTTCACCGAGTCGTATAAAGTAATGATTAGTGACGACGTTATAACTAAATATTTTTGTTAATATCGTCTTGAATATATATATGAAATTAAACGATGATACATTTTGTATAATTCTTCTCGACATTTTGGTGAAGGAAAAATAAAGATAAATAAAGATGTCATCAATGGTATTAAATAGATTAAATAGACACTAAGATAGAGTTGATTTTGCCATGATTGTGTAATACAATTGAAATAGAATGCAACAATAAGATAAGGAATTGTGAAAATAACAAGAATATAGGGACTAATAATATTACGTCGATAGGTATATAATACTTCTTTAAAATTTGACCATAATGATACATCTGGTTTTAAAGTTATTTTATGTTTGACAAGAATAATAATTAAAATTATGGGCGAGAATAAATTGAAAATAATAGGAAGTATAAGATGAATTATATTTATTATTTTTTCGAAAGTACTTAAAAAATAATTATGTGTAGAATGTAAATCAGCACGTAGTTGATATTGAAATAGTTTATAAAAAGCAATAAGAAAATGATAAATAATTAATATTGGAATAATTATTTTAGCTTTATGTCGACTACCTTCTTTATCGAAAGATAAATGTTTATAAGCAACAACAATCTTTTCAATAGCCATACATGCTGTTAAAGAATAATGTAAAGAAGAAAGAACATATATCAAATAATCAAGAACAAAACAATTAATAATTCCAGTATTTTTCTTGTTAAATATAATAAATAAACGAATAATTAATATTATTGTACCAAGTTGTCCAATAATTGCAATCCATAATCGATAAAGTCCACTAATCAATTCACGTGTTGTTTTCTGACAAAATGTTACGATTGATACAGTATTACATATTATACCAATAAAAAGTATTAAGAAAATTTTCGTCGATTGAAGAGATGTATAGAGAAGAGATTCGAGTGAAATACTATAATATAATGTAGTGAATTGACATATTGATCCATAATAACATCGAGGACATGATACTGTAGAATTCCAATCGTAATAAATTGGTATAGACGACATGATGATTTTATTATCTCATTTATATTTTGTGTTAATGACTAGTCATTTTTCATTTTCTTTGCAATTATAAATGTGAAGAGTAGACGTATATCATATTTCTATATACTGCAACAGTTTTGAAGTACGTCCTTTTTTCTTTATAACCTTCCTGGATATCGAATCTGGCAAAATTTAACTTCTTTTTAGAGTGAGATATCGAGATAAACAGGGAACGATAGCGCAAGAGGTGCCTGATCTAACTAATACAAAGAATCTATTACTTTTCCTGTGGCAGTGTCTGCTCGACGTTGAATACTGATACTCTTTGTAATTATAACCTAACGTCAGTAAAAAGATATGATATTTGCAGTACTAATAAAGAACGTCAAAAGTTATAAAATAACATTAAAACATGTATGTAAATATATTGTGCTCGTGATCTTCTCCGATTTACTCTCTCAAAAGTCTATTGAATTTTATTGACTGTAAAATAGACGTCATCTTTTCAGCATCGATAGAGCTTAGTGGAGTCTTTGAAAAGATTCTGAAGAAACGAGTTTTTTCACATCTTTTTTGATCATTTTGTAGCTCTCGATAGCCACTATCTGCACACAAAAATTCTTCTAAAAGACACAGTAAATCGGAGAAAATCACGAGCACACTATATTTACCTACATGTTTTAGTACCATTCTATAGCCTTTGACGTCCTCTATTAATGCTGAAACTATCATGTTTTTTTTGTTGACGTTAGTTTATAACTACACCGAGTACCAGTATACATCTATCTTACAAATGGAAGCATAAATTTCAAAATAGAAATCGTTTTAGATGAGATTTTTCATTGAAACCATTCTGTGGACAATAGAGAATTTTATAAGCTACAAAATTATGCATACTATATACAGAGATAAGAAAGCTAAGTAACCTATATGGCAAACATAATTATGCAGGAAATATTTTCATTGTTGTCAACGATCTCGTTGGCCCATTGGCTGAACAGTAACCGATAGAAATTAAATGGTGAGAAAAATCGTTGTCTTCGGATAAGCAACGGTCAACAGAAATCGTGCTTATAAAAAAGATTTCTTATAATAATATTGGCGTCAAAACATTCTAAAATGACTCATCTGTCTCACACACTTTTTACAGTACATATAACTTTCGGATAAAATTCGAAGTTAGTTACTCAATTAATTCGAATTGAAATAATTAAAATATTTTCGACTAGAATAATGTAGTATTCTAAAGATTGTCCGTGTTAAAAGATTAATAAAACGTTACTTTCATCATAAACCATATTGTTATGCCTTTTATCTTATCCAAATACAACGCATAAGAATTATGGTCACTATATATTAGTCTATTATTGCTTTCTTTTCTACTAGAATTAATCTATATAAAACACGTGCTATAGCATTCAATTCTTCACGTTCATTTCGTTATTTTTTAAAATCAAATGGATATAAAAGTTTTAAAAGTTTTATTTTTTCCATATAAAGGAAAGTTTCATTCTTTCTACGACAAATTAATACTGGCAAGTCACTGGGTAATGGTCAACTACAGTTTTACCGTAAAAGATATAGATGACTCGGTAAGAAGTTCTATTTTAGTTTATATTATAGGAAAATATAATAATCAATTTTTACCGCGACCAACACGGTTTTATGAAAGCAGATTACATAAAAGAAAACCATTTGTTTCGTGCCCCGTTTTTTTTTAAAACAATATGTTTAAGATCTTATGGTAGGTAAGTTTCTTTAGTTTTTATTCACTTTTTATTTTCATTTTATATGTATATATAGATTGATGATGATAACGATTACAAATACTTCTCGATTGAATATCAAAAGTTTATTAATGAACAGAAGTAAGTTAAAACTTTTTACTTTTCTTATTTAATAGAAAATATACTTCTTTCTTTTTAGTACCGATGTGGAATACATGATGTTACCAAGTTTGTTGAAGAAAATAAAAAACAAATTAAATGCTTTATTCAAAGATTTAAATAATCAACAACAATACTTACAACCTGTCTTACTTAAGCATTTCAGAATTTTTGATATTTCTGAACTAACGGTGATGAAAATCAACACCAAACATTGAATTCGAATCTAAGACCATCATGCACCAATATCATCCTATCCTTACCGCAAAGCAACAGAAGAAAGAGAGATTATAAATGATCAAGTGGCTGAAATGTTGAAGAACATTGTCATTCGTCCTAGTGCAAGTCCATGGTCTTCGCCAGTGGTGATCGTTAAGAAGAAAGATGGCACATCAAGATTTTGCATAGACTATCGGCTCTTGAACCATATCACTGAACGTGACGTATACCCATTGCCCCGAATTGACGACATCATTGATCGATTAGCTTGCGCCAAATTATTTACTACTTTGGACATGAGGCAAGGTTATCGGCAGGTGCCCATCGAAGAGACAGATAAACAAAAGACGGCTTTTATCACTAGTGAGGGTCTATTTGAGTTCAACGTTACGCCATTCGGTTTGTCAAATGCCGCCGCAACATTCCAGCGCATTGTTAACAACATTCCGGGTGTACTTCGATGACGTAATAATATACTCCAAGTCACTTGTTGAACATGCTCAACATCTTGATGCTGTATTGTGTGCCTTACAAGAAGCTAATATCAAATTGAACGCCGATAAGTGTTCCATTTGTAAAAAGGAATTAGTTTATTTAGGATTTAGAATAACGTCATATGGAATAAAACCAACTCGAACTAATGTCCGAAAAACAATTGATTTTCCGGTACTAACATCATCAAAACAAGCGTATGCATTTGTTCAAATGGCCCAATTCTACCGACGCTTTATTCTAAGTTTTGCGGGGTGTGTGTGGGTGTGTGTTATACTCTTCTCTTTACCCGCACCCACACCCTCAAAAATAGTTTTAATTTAATTTGATAAAGTTTTTATTTTTATTTTTGAAAATAAATTAAATGAATAAATATTTAACTGAAATTCAATATGTAACAGTAGAAAACAATTTAAATGATTGATATAAAAATATTTTAGTTCACTTTTACAATTCATTATTTTATCTTATTGTGAAAAATGAGAACATATTCAACTCAAATTCTTTAATATTATCAGTTTAGTGTTTAACAAGCGAATGAATACAAACTACATGAATCAATTATTTTGTTTTCTTGACTGAACTCCTTGTCTTTGCTCAATAGTCGTCAACTCATTGAAAAACAACACATATTCATCGTAGAATTTTGAAGATGAACAAATTATAAATATAAAAATGAATGTGAATGAGTTCATCGACAGATTTCGATTATTGTTTCTATTAGTAAAACATTCGAACTTGATAATTCAATTTATGAACGAAAAAAAAAATGATTCCGAAAGGAAAAAGGTATTTATGTTGGATCAATTGAATATTAGAACTGTTCTGTTTGATCCTCTAGCTTTTAATGATATTATACTAACATCCCATTTTCATTATGACTTCATCAAGAGTACTGAGAGAGATGTGAATTTATTCATGTGTTTTATTTTGATGAAAATTGGCAAAAATTCGAATATTGATTAGTAATCTTTTCCCGAAAAGACATAAAAATGATTATGATTTCTTTTTCTATTGTATAAATATCGATTTTTTTAACGGCGAAAACCATCGCTCTTTACTTTGCGTCTATCTAAAGTAGGTAAAAATTACAGCAGTTAGAAGAATCATATAAGTAAGAAGAATGACAAAACATTGAAGAAGTTGAATGAGTTAGTTATTGGGAACAATGTGAATGTAGTCTTCAAGATATCTTCTGTATTTTTGAGGGTATGGGTTAGAGAGAAAAAGGAGAAACACACCCATCCACCCACACCCACACCCTCAAGATGTTTCTTATATGATATACACATTACAAACAATCAAAAAAAATACATAACATAATCTTTTTTTTACAAATACAAAAACCCGAAAAAACAATTTATTTAAAGCGTATAAGAGTAAATCTTAATTAATATATATATTCAATTTTTTTTATAAATCATCGTTATTTAAACAACATCGTCGTATAATATTTCTTGAATTTGCCAAGGACATTCTTGATTTATCAGATGTTCCTACTGAATGTAAAGTACCAAAACAAGTTGCTGATTTACGAGGATCTGCTTGATATTTAGCTGCCCAAGTATTACGTCGTACACCCAATGCTCCAAAGCCAAGTTCATCAAGTATCGTACTTAAAAAATCATCATCAGCACTGGCTACAATAAATTCTGGTGATGCTAATAATTTACATACAAAATCAATCATATGATCTTGATCCATTCTTTTACTGAAAGCAATTTCAGTTCGCAGTTGATCAAGAATAGCATCTTCATCTCCAGTAATACATGGTACACAAAAAAACAAAAGAAGAAGTAGTAACATCATCATCATACAAACTCACAATGCACGTTCTGTGTGTTGCATAGACACATGATTTTAAAATAAAGTAATTTTTCATGTATGTAACAATCATTTGAATGTCTTCGAAAAACAAAAAAAAGGTGCAACTAGTTGTTAACGCACATGAAGTCGATGTGTGAAATAAAGAACAAGTAAAAAAAAATTCTTCAACACTGAAAATTTGATTATTGAAAGATTTAGTTAGACAGAATTACAACAAAAAAATTGTCTTGATAAAAATATTTTTTTTATTTCACTTCGAAATGTTTTTGATATAAATAAATTTGTATAACAACCCAAACAAAATGGTATACCTGAACTAAATAAACAAATATTTCTAATTATTGTTTCAATTTGTATTCGATCAGAAGTTTTCAATTGATTTTGTGTTATTTGTTGATACATAAGAAAGATTGCAAATGAAAAACTAAACAAAATATAAATCGTTATATCCATAAATAACATTAAAATAAGTTGTCGATCTTTTGAAGATGATAATATATTATTTCCGACTGTTGTACCACTTACAGATAAAACTGGAGCAATTCTTACACGTCTTGTCTTTCGAATATTTTTTATTGACCATAATCCACATATTATTAATAATAAAAGTGCTGTTGTTTCTTTTACAATCGAATAATAACCCATAAAAATCAAATGACCACCCGATTGATAATAACATAGAAATGTATTCGGAGCAATTTGTGAAATAGTTGAAAAAATTAATGCATGAATATGAAATAATGTCCAAAATATTGTTCCAATAATAATAAATATACAAGCAAAACGACGATTACTTCTTCGTCTTACAATAGCATTATGTGATGTAATCCATATTCGATCAATTGAAGCTAATATTAAATAATATGAACTTAAACAATTTGATAAAGCTATGATATAAAGACGTAAACGACATAATATTAAATTATATATACTCGCATCTATTTTATATCCAATACTTAATGTTAATGATATTAATGAAGAATAAATGTAAATAAAATTCGCAATATTATATGCAATAAAATAAATTGAACATGGATTTTTACGAAGATTTTTTTGAGTAAAAACAATTAGATTAATTATACAACCTAAAGTACCAAGGAATATTAATATTACACAACCAATTTCATATAAATACAGTTGTATTGATTTCATTAAGATAATTATATCGGTAGTTGAAGCTTGTGATGACATAATGATGATTTTTTGGTTAGATTATTAGTAAATCTAAAATAAACTATTGGATCATCTCTACTAAAGCCTATAATTTGTTTATATTCGTAGCAAAGAACTGTTATTTATCTCATATTAATATCTACCTTCTAGGTGATACTCACGAATACTAACAGTCCTGACAGCATTAAAACTAATATATATATATATACATTTTCTATTTAAAAAAAAGTCATTATTATAATGTGTCATGATATTTTGATAACAAAACTATCTTTTTACAAAAAAATCTCTTCTCTTTCAACATATACCAAATCATTACATATTCATACAATAGCACTGTATATCACACACCGTGAAACACGGAAAAATGACTAAAAAATAAAATGAGAGAATGAAAGAAAACTATGAATAGAATATATAAAGATGTCATAATCATCATCAAGAGATTCTCATTGTATATTATATATTACTTTAATTAAAAGAAATCTAACCTATTAGGTACTCATTCAAGGCTATGTTTAATTCATAATAAATAGAAATTCGAGTACTGCGCATCATGTTATAAGACATAAAAGAACAAGGGGGGTTTTCCGGTTTTTATAGCAACATTCTTTAAAAGAAATTGTAAATAAATTACACCTATTCATTAGTCTATTGAACTAAATTTAACTAGAAAATTTGACTTAGAAGTTATTTACATATTTTCTGCTTTGCTTGAAATATTAAAAAAAAAACATGGATTTCATTGAATATAACGAGTTGGTATACGAGATTAAATAAAGAAAAATAATTACTTATGTCAGAAAAATTTCGCTAAAATTCTATTTATATATTGAAAGATCGTTAATTATTGTTTTCAATGTGAAAAAATGAAGATGAGTTTTACGTCATTCCTTTATGTTTAATACATGTTTTTTTCCAAGTTCAATGACCTTGATGATTTTTATTTTTAATATATTTGAAAGTGTAGGTGTTAGTCTAATTGAGAAAATAACAACAATTTTTATGTTTTATATCTACACTCTTGAATTTCTGCACACTGAGAAGTATATTGACTATAGAATATCAGTTTTGTAGCAATAATCAATAAATATATTATATTTCACAGATTAATTAGAAAATAAATTATATCATTTAGTCAATTTCAAATCTATATTAATATAACTTTTATTTTCATGTCTTTGTTTTTATATTGTGCAAACAGTAACAAAATTTCTTTTTTCATTTTGATGAAAGACTTGAAATGTGTAAAGAGTATACCTTTTTCTTCCAAGATTTTAAATTCTTTTATTCTAAATCATATTCATGAGTGCCTGTCGGCAACAATAATTCCAACCGTTTCTTTTAATATATAATGCTTCTTCAAATAATACTACTCATTCAAAAAAAATTTGTTTATGTAAAAGAAGTTTGAAAAAGAACACACATTTTTATTTGGAAATATATTGAGTAACAAAATAAACATAATTAGCTTGATTAATATGAAAAAAAGAACAACACGTTATTCGAATAATCAAAGTGAAAAATTAATTACAGATGAAAATATCATTTTAAAAATATATGTTTGAAATCTAGTTGATAAGTGATTGAACAATGCTTATAAATACTGGTAACATATTTCTCACTTGTGATGCTTGTTTCATTGAGTTTTAAATCGTTAAGAATAAGGAGTACTGGTTCCGAAGATTAACTCTTCTAAAAATAAAATATAAAATATTTTTTTCCTCATTAAAGATCAATCTTATAAAGTTTTTGATTTTATGCGTAATTTTCGTAAATTTAGAATTTTTCGATTATGATTCTTATGGATAGTCATTTTTTTTACAAAATTATCATGTAATATATACTCGTACTGATTGAGAATCGAACATCTGTATTTAATTACGTGCTTTTATTACCATTTAATCCCCTTTCGACTTTCGTCGCAATATTTTTTTGCGATTTTCGGCGACTTTCTGTTTTGAGTCATAGTTTGCTCTAATCACCTTCCAAGTAAATACGTATGAATCAGCTGTTCTTTTTTTATTACAGACTTTGATTCTTTCGCGGAATGAAAATCGAAACACAAAATGCGTTATTTACGTGCACCAACGATGCTTTACCTGTAGTGAATGCTGGCGGGACACCAAATGGTATATCATCAATCACTGGTTGAGGAGATCTACAAACTATAAGTAAGATTATATTTAATTTCAATCATTAAAGTTTAATTAAAGGTTACACCTCCTGAAGCTTGAAAATTTAGATTATTATTTGTGCCAGCATCTAAAAGAAAAATACAGCAAAATAGTTATTCATCACTAGGAGAAAATTTATATATTTTCAGATTAAGCGGACAAATAGAATAAATCAATTCTGCAGAAGGGTGCAGCTGGAGATGTGGCGGGGAGTGTGTATGAAATAAAGATGAGTATTTAACCCACTCCTACTTCCGCAATTTCGCAGTATTCTATAAACCTGACAATTCTGATAATAAAATCGGGATGAGTATGGGTGCGGATAAAAGATAATCATAATAGCTACTCATACCTTCGATTTTTAAGCTTTAACGACTATTATGCGCGTGCTAGGGTTAAGGGGATGAGTGGAGCCATCTTGAACTGAAGTTACAAAAAGTGAAGATGAGAAGGCAGCTAGGAGGGGATCCCTCAAAAGTAAGAGTTAAGGTGTGGGTGAGCTTGCGTGGATGTTATGATTATCAATTACGGACACCCACACCCTGTAGTTTTAGCCTGACAGATGGCGCTATAGAAAATCTGAAAAATCACATTTCGAGTTTCTAGAAATCTCAACATACTGTTGACTGAATTGTTCATGAAATAGTCATTGAAATACGTCCTAGAGCGAATCGATAATAGAAATAGTGAAATTACGTGAAAAACTTGTATTGGGAAAAAATATAGTATGTTGGAATTTTTGTGCCTTTAGTCAGAACTATGGAAAATCTATTTGAACCCCTTTGATAAAGTTTATCAAATAATTGAAAAATTTCCATTATTAACTAAATTAATTCATAATGTTTTTACCTATTTTAGGAGCTTGACTGGAAGAATTATGTGATGCACCGAATAATATAACAGAAGAAGATGGAATATTATTTATAACAATTGAACCTGAGAAAGAATTGATTGCATTACCAGTATCAAGATGTTGTTGAATAGATGCATTATCAATTGTTTGAACCTGATGAATAACTGGATCTTAACAAAAAAACAATACAACATATCAGTTTACATCATTTTGTAAGCTAGTGCTGAAAAGAAATCTTTATTTTATATAATATTAATTCAATAAAGTAAATATGAAAATTATTTTTATAATATTCAAAACTTTCTTTTTATTTTTATTTAGTTAACAACAAAATCAAAACGTCTTATTCAAGAATATACTTAACATAAACTTAAAATTAAATTCTCAAAAATAATCAACACATTAATTATTTAACTATTATATTATATTCGTCACTTATAATTAATTGATACTTCGGATATTTTTATTATTAAATTAATATTACATACTTTGAGAAATCATTCCAGAAGAATTATTATTACCAATATTAAATCCACGCTCTGGCTATAATGAAAAAGTTTAAATATTTTGAAAATCAATGTAAAATATATAACCTGTCCTGGTAATATATTTTCTGAATGAACATCTATATTTTCTTCAATACCATCATCATCTAATATTTCCTACATATATTATAACAGAGCAAATAAAAAATAAGTAAAATTCCTAAACTTACGTTCATTGATGTCCTTAAAATATGATTTTTATCTTCTAGAAAATTCAATCAATATTTTTCATTTTTTCCAACATTCAGTTTATTGCTTGACGTAAATCACAAACTCAAGTGTATTTAGAAACAAAATTAAATAAATTAAAACAAAATATTATGGATCATAGAACTCAATGAATATCTATAATTATTTTCAACTATCACAGTCAAATACGTTCGCTTAGTTAGTAATTAAATTAAAATTAATAGTCAAACTATTACTTGTACTTCCGATGTATGCAACACTATTTTTAAATATAGAAGAATAGAATGTTAAATAGTACTCAGACTAACTGACTACGAAGATGATGCAATTATCAGATTATTATTTTTGTAGGACTATTGATTTATTTCAAGATCAAACTTAAATAGTTGGTTGGTTTTCTATACGTGCCATATTTATCGTTCCTGAGTCAGACACATAAAACGCCATCTACCTTTTAATAATGTTCGCTTTCTTTTGACATATTTTAATAAATTAGTAAAGATTATTATTTTGTGCTAGTAGAAAAATATTTTCGAAATATAAATTCTTTTCAATATAATTTTATATTTAATATAATAAATTGAAGCAGATGACGTAAAGAATAGATATATTAATTTAATAATTTTTATTCAAAAAACAAAATATGATATATTTTCGAATACATTTGGTAAACTTTTTTCTACGAAAATAAATTATCACTATCATATAAAGAAAGGTAATAAAATTGAAATAAATATTTTTCGTTTACATATATTTGCATAAAACTTAGATTTATTTTTATGTGAAACAAATTAATGAGAGTATTTTATCACTGCACAGATTTTGACACAAATAACAAGATACAGTAGAATATGTAAACGTGATGAACAGAATATGATTTTACACTTGTTACCATGGTATGAAATAATACCATTAGCGGAATTTTAATCAACATTTGTTATTCTATACGACCAAGATTTATTATACCAATGATTAGACAAAAGATAATCGATGTAAAATCATGGTCTTAACATACAATGTCTCGACGTTTTAATTTATAGTATGCAGATATATATAAATATCGTAAACTCGAATGTATAAAGATAAAACTTATTTGACTTCAATTTTAGTGATAACAGTAGCAAATAGAGTACTAAAAACATTTTTTATCATATGAGTGTGGCCAGTCAGAGGGATGTCCCTGCTATATCTTCTGTTCATATATTCTCAGTCTATCAGTACAGAAATATGATTTTTATTCTAATCCATAATTTTCATCAGAAGAACTTGATCATGGTGTTTTAGCTGTTGGTTATGGTATTGCTAATGATTCAGTAAAAGGTCAACAAGAATATTATATTGTTAAGAATAGGTAAATAACAAAAAAATATATTTATTTCGATTTTGTTTTGAATTGATTCTTTTTTTAATAGTTGGCTCGCTACTTGGGGTGATAAAGGATATATTAAAATGGCACGTAACAAGAAAAATATGTGTGATATTAGTACTGCTGCTAGCTACTCACTTGTTACAGATAAATTTTTACTGAAGCTACAGCAAAAAAAAATTAAAGACATTTAAAATTTCAATTTCAGTTGCTTTTTCTTGTTTCTAATCTATTCTTTTGTTTGTTGATATGTCGTTATTGTTGTGGCGTTCGACTCATTTAATTGTATATAAGAGAAAATACATTGTTTGTTGTTTGCCTTCCTACTAGTAAAATTTCTTATTATTTGTACATAGTACAGAATTTGTGAAATACATCGTCTATATTACATTTTTCTTCTGCTTGCTATTTATTCTTATTCATTTTTTTTTACTATTTCATTATTAATAAAAACATTCTTTGAAGTTACATTTGATTATGATATAATATTATCATTCATAAATTTGAATGAATAATGTATATTAATTTGAATGTAAATAGTCAACTGTTGTTGGAATTTCAAGTTAATTGATGGATTATTTTAAAAAGCCTTTTTTTTCTAAGGTTAATCTCAATTTCGTTATCATACTCTGAAATAGATTGTATAAGATGCTTCTCTTACGGGTACTGGAAACTTTAATTTTTTAATATTTAAAAAAAATCCTCAAGTATGTGGTTCATTTGTTTTTCTTTCAAAGAGCTGAATTGAATTTCTATAGTTATAGATTAAATTTATATAAAAAGGATTGATCATTTATTCTATTTATACAATATGTACTTATTACTAATTACAAACTTTTGAATAATCGCTACTAAATTTTGTTTTGAAGATAGAATCTATATATATAAAGAGAAGAAAATTTTTCTTGTTGCATATAGCTCGTTCTTTTGATAAATATGATTGATTGATCGTATAATACATAAATAAATAAATAATGTGAATCATTCGATTAGAAAATTTCAGTTTATCTTTTTCTTAAGTATTTATAATTGTCATTGTTAAATTACTAACAAGAATAATTTTCTTATTGTTAGTCATGTGTATTGACTTTTTATATATTTTTAAGAAAGTTACTAGCAATTACTATTCCTAACTTTTATAATTATCGTAGAAAAATGAATCAATACATGTTATATATGTCACAGTTGACATGAGAACTTAGTTGAAATTCGAATAGGCGAAAAAATATAAAAAGAGAAAATCTTAGTACTTAAAAGCAGTTTTATCAGAGAACACAGAAATTTTTCTTCTTTTCTTTCTGTGTAAATCGTTTGAGAGATGACTGGTTCTCATTTATATATATTTTCTCTAAAATTTTTATCTGTTACACCTAAACAGATGATAAAATAATTTACAAAGAACAAAACATTGTTTAGTTGTAGTTTCTGCTTTAAAATCAAATAAATTTGTAAATGTCGTAGCTATACATTTTCGTCAAAAATAGTTTATCAATATACAGTAAACTCTTTTCTCACACTCTTCAATTAACAAATTATAACCCAGTATTCAACGTTGATTTTAAAACATTTCTTGATAAAATCAAAAGTTGAAATGTAAAAATATACTGTCTTCTATGAATTAAACAGCTTTTCATCGTACATGTTTTATTATATTTTATTTTCAAATACAATATATATTAAATAATAAAAATAATCGATTATTATTTTTACATTCTTATCACGTCAAGGACTGAGGGAAAAAAATTAACAGAAATTTTTTCTACTGCCGACAAGTCACTTTGCGTAACATATCGATTCATTATTTTCGTAGTCTTTCAGCAATCGTTATTGTGGTAATTACCTTTTATGAATAAAAATGAATCAAAACGCACTCAAAAATATGTCTGCATATTCGTTATTTGTTTTTTGTTCTGTTCTTATTAAGATTTTGACAATAGATGGGTAGTAGACAATAATAATAAATCATTTTTGTTACCTATTACCGTTTAGTCTGGTCAAAATCCAAATTCCAATAACGATAGATAAAGGATAAAAACCAGAGACTGGGAATTT